TCTACCACACCTCCCCGTTTGGTGTCATCAGCAAACTTGCTGAGGGTACATTCTAACTCTTCATCCAGGTCGTTGATGAAGAAGTTAAACAAGACTGGGCCCAGTACTGACCCCTGGGGGACACCACTTGTTACCAGCCTCCAACTAGACTCAGAGAGAAAAAATCATAGCCAGAATCTCCTATAGGTAAAAATTACTGTTGAGAAACAGCACCTGGGCAAACTGCAAAATGGGATTTTAGAGCATTAGCTGAGCACTGACAATATTGGAATCCCAGTATTCCAAAGCAGAGTATACTATTTGTAGTAGAATCTTAGGGCAGCATGAAGACCCGTCCCAGTCTCCTGCCTTTGTGCTTTCCTCCAGAAACTGTGGCATGAGCCCTGCACATTTCCAGAAGCCCCTGAACAATGGCTCAATGACAAAGTGGAAACTAGTAATGAGTGGTGTCCTTCAAGGGTCCATACTAGGACCAATACTGTTTAATATCTTCATCAAGGATACAGAGAGTGGGATTGAGTGCACCCTCAGCAAGTCTGAAGATGACACCAAGCTGAGGGGCTCAGCTGATACGCTTGAGGGAAGGGACGCCAACCAGAGGGACCTGGACAGGCTTGGGAAGTGGGGCCATGCAGACCTCATGAAGTTCAACACTGCCAAGTGCAAGGTCCTGCACCCAGGTCAGGCCAACATTGATACACACTGGGTGGTGCATGGGTTGAGAGGAGCCCTGCAGAGAAGGACGCAGAGGATACTGGTGGCTAAAGAACTGGATATGAGGCACCAATGTGCGCAGAAGGCCAACCGTATCCTGGCCTGCAGAAGAATTGTGGCCAGCAGGTGAGGGAGGTGACTTGCTGCCTCTGTTATGCCCTCGTGAGACCACCCTGGAGTCCTGCGTCCAGCTCTGGAGCACTCAGCACAGGAAAGACATGGACCTGTTGGAGTGGGTCCAGAGCAGGGCCACAAAAATGATCAGAGTGCTGGAACCCTCATCTCAGCCTCGTGCTTTTGCACCTTCCCCCAGAAACCCCAGCTTGGGCCTTTGCACATTTGCACAAGCCCCAGAACTTCATCCCAACTTCTGGGCACCCTCAAGAACATCTCCCATAAGAGGAAAGGCTGAGAGAGCTGGGGCTTCTTCCTGACCCCCTTCATCTGGATCACAGAATCACAAAATCACATTATGTTGGAGGTTGGAAGGGACCTCTGGAGCTCATCTTGTCCAGCCCTTGTGTTGAGTATCTTATCAATGTGTATAAATACCTGATGGGAGGCATTAAAGAAGACAGACACAGCCTTCCCTGAGTGGTATTCATTGACTAGACTAGATGCAATTGACACAAACTGAAATACTCTTATTTAGAGAGAGGAAGAAACGTTTTCATGGTGAGGGTGGTTGCACTGTTCTGCCATTTCTGAAAATGTCTGGCAGCTGCTTATGCCTATACGTATTCAACGTTCGTACACAAGAGACAAAGTTCAAATTTGTGGAAAGTATTTTAATCTTTGGTCATAATTATTCAATTCTCGATTATGTTGAAGATGCTAGCCTTCCTTTTAAGCTGAAACAGTTAAAGAAAAAGAGGGGGCATTAGTGCACATCAGGCATTTTGTTGCCCTCTCTGTCTGCTGACTGATCCTACATGCCACTGCAATTTCTACTGTGCTGTGTAGATCATCAGGAGAAAGGAAGGATTGTGCTTGAAAGGTAAGCTACAGAGAAAAACAAAGGAAGAAGTTAAAAAGGACACTTTAATTTACCTTAGGTTTACTTTCTCATTCAAACCTTAAAAGTGTCAGGAACAGATTAGCGAGGTCCTGAAAGGAAGAAATGGTCTAGCCATGTCTTCCAACCTTTTACTGTAGGGGAAGGATAATTGCCCTTTATCAGTTTTTTGTCTCTGCCCTGGTACTGAGGAGAGGAGCCACCAGTACTTTTTCTGTGGAATAATCCTGCAGATACTTTTCCCTTTTACACACACACTGCCCATCCAGTTTCAACCACCAGATTTCAACAGTTCTGTCCTCTCTATCACACCCTGTTTCACTCTCTCCTTTTTTGATTTCTTAAGCCTATATTATCTTTGACTTGCCACCTCCAGCTTCTAAACATCAGGCTTCTCTATTCACTGCCCTACCAGTCTGAAGCCTCTCTTCTACTCTTCAGCTTAGATTTTCCCCATCCTAGTTTTTCATTCAATCACTTTCCACACCTGTTAACATTTTTCAAGCTCATCTCACTGGATTTTAGCCCTGGGTCTGTATGTGATCTCTGTTTCATTTTTGATTCACTTGTTCCCACTCCTTTGCTGGTCCTTAGTCGTGGTTTCTACTTAGACTTCTGACTGTTTTCCCATAATGTGAAAAGCTGGTCTGACTTTTTTTCAAGGTGGTCCCAGTTTCAAAATCATCTTCTCTCTTAAGCCTGAGCTGCAGAATGGCACTGTAGCAATCTTTAGAGATTTGTAGGTAGCTTCCCAAGTGCGTGCAATATTTTTTTCACAGGCTAGCCTGTTGTAAATTGGACCAACCTGCCAGAGGAATGTAAGAAGACTAAAAGTGGGGAGAAAAAAAAAAAGGATAGTATATTTATGGCCAAATTCCAGTTTCTGCTTCTCAGCATGAAGATGTTAGTGCTTCTTGAAGCTTGGTCAAAATTTTCTCACATGGAGCATAAACTTTGTATATGCTATGACTTCATTCTCAGCAGCAGCTGAAGTCTAGGTGCATGGGAACTCTGTGGAAATAGTTGGAAATTCTGGATGGTCATCATGGAAAGATTTACAGAAATACAGCATAATTTTCTCCAAATGTAACTCATTGAAAGTCTCAGAAACACTCATGTCTAAGAAGGAAAACTCAGGCAGAAAATTAAGCAGTTTCTTCAAATATTCACAGATTCTATTGTTAGCATGTCTACAAGAACAAAAAATAAGTAGGGAAGATGAACTGCTAAAACCAGAAGCTAATTATTCTAAGGCAATCTCATATTCACTAGCGAATGAGTATTTCATATACTACAAGCTTTCAGACCCTGAGAAATAAAAATATTAACTTATTATTTCAAAGATAGGAAGAATCTGAAAACACAGACCATATAGTCTATAATGTAAAAATGACTGAAAAAAGTTTATCAGCATGTGGTTTCTCAGATGTAGATTCACAGAGCACACACTAGAAAAGAGAACTTATTGTGTGCAAGAACAGTTTTGCCAAGAAAGGAATGCTGTTGGAGAGATCCACAATGCCATTATCGCTACATTTCAAAACTCATAAGTAAAAAATACACTGGTTTGTTTCTTTTTTATGAAATATTTTCAGCATCTTCAGCTGAAACTGCAAAAATATCTGCAAGGATTTTGGGAAGCAAAGCTGAGTGATGTATCTAGATAAACTCAGAGTAATCAGACAGAAATGACAAGCTGACATAATTAGTCTACTGGCATAAACTGTGCTTTCTCTATGGACAGAAAAAACACTGGAGGAAATAAAAGCCACTGATAGACCTGACTAAGAAATGAAAGCATTACTCAGGGCTCAGTATCTTTAAAAAATTCCTGTAGGGGTTTAGTGCCACAGAGCTGTGTAGGAGATGTGCAATCTATTTCTGGTGATAAGATAATGAAATGTTAGAAGTGGGTGCCGGAAAACTAGCACTCACTGGCAACAGGACAGAGTTAGAAATATTGGACCATAAGGCATCTCAGGGAATTATGTCATACAGTTTCTTTCAAAAACAAATCTAGTCTTAGTTTGAGAGTACTGCATTTACTTGAGTATAAGGCAACACTTACGTTTCTTCATCTATTCCAGGATAAAAAATAGTGAATGTAAATTCCTCCAGAATCCCTCCAGACCCACATGATATGACAGTGAAGATTCCTCTAGACTGATAGAAATGCAGACAGAAACCTTGGGTTCAGGGAAGAGGATGCCATTTACCCTCTTCCCCTCTTATGAATTAAATGCAGATCCTGCAAGGGAAAATGATGGAGAAGTGATCCCACTCACTGAAAGAAGCATGTATGTGGGGAGGGAGATTTATGATGAGACAGGAGAAAGCAGGGCAAGGAAAAGGCCTAAAGGAGTAGGAGGAAGGAAGAGACACTAGACAGCAGCGATGGATGAGAAGTGAGGGAAGTGTGAGGTGCTGGCTCCCTCATCTTCAAAGGGAATAAATGTCCTCTGTTTCCGTAGGGAGTTTGGAATTTACACTCATCTGGTATTAAACCAAATGGCAGCAGATGTAAGGGAGCCCCAGCCGTACCCCAGCCCAGAGCTCCGGAAGAAGCAGTGTCTGCAGGCTCCAAGCTACCTTCACCTCCTCCCACGGAGGCACTGATGGCTGCCATCTGTGATTACTTTTCAGTCATTTTTTGTTTTGCAACCTGTCCTTATTTTGGAAGGCTGCTCTTGAAGCTACCAGCTTCTTGAAGATCAACCACCTTTGGGGTGCCAGAAAAAAATATTTATAGTGAGTTTATACTCATTTACTCTTTTGCCCTTTAATAGCTCTTTTTGCTCCCTTGCTTGTGTTAACCTCACCTAAAATGTTTGGAGAGCGTAATAGTACGTCATATTGGATTTTAGTCTGATAAACCAAACAAGCCATTTTTTATTTTTCTACTCCCAAATAGCAGCTCTGAGGTTCCCTAAACATCCTTAGAATTCCAGTCTGGCTTTGGTGCAGCTAGAATTCCTTTTTCTTTTTTTTTTTGTGTGCTGACTAGAGCTGACCAAGGAATTGCAGTTCAGATCCTTTGAGTGCTTTATCCAGTGAAATATGCTGTCCCTGTCTCTTAACAAGCATTTTTGTCCTTTCTGTGGGAATGGTAGCTCCTAAGCAACGTGCGATCAACCGGTACTGATCTGGTTTTGCATGGAGCAAACAGAGGTGCCATAGAAGGTTAGGCAGAATGCGGACCCTTGCGGTGCTCCTTACTTTTCCAGCCCCATTCTGCTGCTCTTCTAGGACTTTGGCCAGGCTAGTGGCCATGTCGATACTCAGCAGGCTTCAGATTCAGACAGCACAGCCATCTGGGTTTTTTCCATCTACGGGTATCCCAGCGGGAGGTTCAGCCCAACACTCCCTTCAGAGGTGTCGATAATGCTGCCAGGCTTACAGGTGTTGCCCCAGCTGGTTGGCCATTCAGGGCAAGGGTGTCAGAACAGGGTTTGGCAGCTCCATCGCTGGCTGTGAATATACGTGCCAGGAATATGCTACTTCAGAGCAGCATACAACAGCCTTTCTCCTGCACCCTTCTGTGCTTCGCCCTGCCTGAAGCCATCCATCTCTTGTTTGATTGTGGCATTGCTTGGAATCTTTGCAAAGCAGCAGCAGCCACTGACCTGCTGACAGTTCCCATCAGGCAGCACGCTCTGCAGCTCAAGACTGCCTCCATCAGAGTGCTCTGGGCAAAGAATTGTTCTAAAATAGGGGAAAAAACCCAAAACAACCAACTTAGAGCTGAGACTCTTGTCATCACTATTAAATTTCTCCACGTTATATTACTTCAGTCTTCCAGATGAGGTGATCCTGTATGTCCTGTTAATGTCTATGATTTAATCACCTAGCTTACTTTTTTTGTGCCTGCATGGACAGTTTGGCCTTAGCTGACGTGTCACTGTGTATTTGTATCATATATTAATTTGGGCAAGAAAGAGAAGTGATTTCAGTAAACTTGGCAAGCATAAATAAAGGGTTTTTTCCACAAGACAAGTAACATTAACTCAACCAAATCAACCTGGAAACTGATCAAAATCGTAAAAAGGTGTAATTGAGACAAAACTTAAGGCTTAGAGAAGCTCAGTCAGACCTGCAAGAGCAGTAACAATAACTATGGAAGTAATCAATTATGTGGACATTCTACACTCAACTGTAATAATCAATTAAGAGGAAAAAAAGATGAACCTTGAGATTTACTTGGAGAGATGCTTTCTTTGTCCCTACAGCTCTGCTCCCCCACCCGGGATGTTATCTGTCCGAGTACTCATATTTAATCACTTTTAGAGGAGCATGAAATATATAGGGCATTTCACAAGTCAGTGAAGACAGTCTTGGTATCCCACACAGGGCTGTTCCGGAGATAGCAGTATTTCTTTGCCCCTGAATGTGTTCACACCTGATTCTCAAGTGAACACGCAATTCTTTCCCCCAGGGCTCAGTATGTGTTTAGTTTCTTTCACATTTTTTCTTTTCTCTGCAGTCTTGGGGATTTCTGGTTTTCCACCCATACGGCGGGAAAACATACTTCACGCAAGCCAAACATGTGAACAAGTTGAAAGGCAGAGACAGATGGAGCCATCTCTGGGATATCTAAACAGAATACTGTGGACATAATGAAATACTAAAGCATTTGCATTAGCATGTGAGTTTGAGCTGAAAGAACGAAACCAACGCAGCAGAGTTACTCGTATGTGGGTTTAGAGCCTTAGTGTCTGTGCTCTTGACTGCATGCAAAATGTCATGCGGGACTTTTGGAAGCTAATGAATCCAGACTCCTCGCTACTTGGCATCAAGGAATACATTTATAAGCTGTGTGTCGTTTACTCTTGCCTAGTCTGCGTTCTTTTTCCTCATAGTCCCTTTCACTCTTACCACTTCGGTCACATGGGAGAAAGAACTGTTCCAGATCTTCATCTTTCTCCCACCAGCACTGGGGAGTGCCTCAGACAGTTTTACTGATAGAAGACTGTACATCTAACTCAATGTTTAGCGGAAAATACATAGAGCTTCACATGTTTTGGAGCCAGCACCTGAAACCCAAGCAAGAAATTACCATGGCGGTCCAGGAAAGTAACACCGCCTCATCATAACTGCGCGTGTTCCGAGCACTGCCCACAAATAACCTCAGACCATTGCCACTCAGTCTGAAAGTTCTTGTAGCTCGGTGCCTTTACTTGTGGTTGTGAGGCAGTGCATGAGAAACAGCAAACTGAGGAAGGTATTGTTTTCTCCCTTGTGAGACAGTCTGCCTCGCTGCTGCTGCTAGGTATGAGTTGTGATAGGTTTCTTACACTGGTTTTCGTTTGGAGAAGGTTTCCCTTGAGATTTGTCATCATCACTCTTCCCGTAGCTGGTTACTTTTATAGGTCAAAACGTGAAATAAAGCAACTTTTGAAAATGTCTGCCTTTACTCCGGGGAGATCAGATCGTTAGGTAAATCCTTTTGCTCTCATTCCAGCCTCCTCCTGGGATGCACCTGGTTGAAGAGGACGAATCTTTGCTTAAAGCCACAGCTGTGAGCATGCTATTGTTGGGTTTGTCACGTCTTACAATGCCGTAACATTGACTGGTAAAACTTGGGTCTTCCTCCATTTTTACGTGGGGATTGACACCTCCAACCTTACTGACATCTCCCTCTTACGCTCATGGGTAGTTTAATCCGCCTCTGGCGGCTACAGCACCGCTGAAGCAGGACAAGCCCGCAAAAATACCGAGAGCGGTGCTGGAAGCAGCGAGCATCCGCGCTGGGATGCCCCGGGTGGAACGTGCTTCTCGGATGCTCGCTGCTTCCAGCACCGCTCTCGGTATTTTTGCGGGCTTGTCCTGCTTCAGCGGTGCTGTAGCCGCCAGAGGCGGATTAAACTACCCATGAGCGTAAGAGGGAGATGTCAGTAAGGTTGGAGGTGTCAATCCCCACGTAAAAATGGAGGAAGACCCAAGTTTTACCAGTCAATGTTACGGCATTGTAAGACGTGACAAACCCAACAATAGCATGCTCACAGCTGTGGCTTTAAGCAAAGATTCGTCCTCTTCAACCAGGTGCATCCCAGGAGGAGGCTGGAATGAGAGCAAAAGGATTTACCTAACGATCTGATCTCCCCGGAGTAAAGGCAGACATTTTCAAAAGTTGCTTTATTTCACGTTTTGACCTATAAAAGTAACCAGCTACGGGAAGAGTGATGATGACAAATCTCAAGGGAAACCTTCTCCAAACGAAAACCAGTGTAAGAAACCTATCACAACTCATACCTAGCAGCAGCAGCGAGGCAGACTGTCTCACAAGGGAGAAAACAATACCTTCCTCAGTTTGCTGTTTCTCATGCACTGCCTCACAACCACAAGTAAAGGCACCGAGCTACAAGAACTTTCAGACTGAGTGGCAATGGTCTGAGGTTATTTGTGGGCAGTGCTCGGAACACGCGCAGTTATGATGAGGCGGTGTTACTTTCCTGGACCGCCATGGTAATTTCTTGCTTGGGTTTCAGGTGCTGGCTCCAAAACATGTGAAGCTCTATGTATTTTCCGCTAAACATTGAGTTAGATGTACAGTCTTCTATCAGTAAAACTGTCTGAGGCACTCCCCAGTGCTGGTGGGAGAAAGATGAAGATCTGGAACAGTTCTTTCTCCCATGTGACCGAAGTGGTAAGAGTGAAAGGGACTATGAGGAAAAAGAACGCAGACTAGGCAAGAGTAAACGACACACAGCTTATAAATGTATTCCTTGATGCCAAGTAGCGAGGAGTCTGGATTCATTAGCTTCCAAAAGTCCCGCATGACATTTTGCATGCAGTCAAGAGCACAGACACTAAGGCTCTAAACCCACATACGAGTAACTCTGCTGCGTTGGTTTCGTTCTTTCAGCTCAAACTCACATGCTAATGCAAATGCTTTAGTATTTCATTATGTCCACAGTATTCTGTTTAGATATCCCAGAGATGGCTCCATCTGTCTCTGCCTTTCAACTTGTTCACATGTTTGGCTTGCGTGAAGTATGTTTTCCCGCCGTATGGGTGGAAAACCAGAAATCCCCAAGACTGCAGAGAAAAGAAAAAATGTGAAAGAAACTAAACACATACTGAGCCCTGGGGGAAAGAATTGCGTGTTCACTTGAGAATCAGGTGTGAACACATTCAGGGGCAAAGAAATACTGCTATCTCCGGAACAGCCCTGTGTGGGATACCAAGACTGTCTTCACTGACTTGTGAAATGCCCTATATATTTCATGCTCCTCTAAAAGTGATTAAATATGAGTACTCGGACAGATAACATCCCGGGTGGGGGAGCAGAGCTGTAGGGACAAAGAAAGCATCTCTCCAAGTAAATCTCAAGGTTCATCTTTTTTTCCTCTTAATTGATTATTACAGTTGAGTGTAGAATGTCCACATAATTGATTACTTCCATAGTTATTGTTACTGCTCTTGCAGGTCTGACTGAGCTTCTCTAAGCCTTAAGTTTTGTCTCAATTACACCTTTTTACGATTTTGATCAGTTTCCAGGTTGATTTGGTTGAGTTAATGTTACTTGTCTTGTGGAAAAAACCCTTTATTTATGCTTGCCAAGTTTACTGAAATCACTTCTCTTTCTTGCCCAAATTAATATATGATACAAATACACAGTGACACGTCAGCTAAGGCCAAACTGTCCATGCAGGCACAAAAAAAGTAAGCTAGGTGATTAAATCATAGACATTAACAGGACATACAGGATCACCTCATCTGGAAGACTGAAGTAATATAACGTGGAGAAATTTAATAGTGATGACAAGAGTCTCAGCTCTAAGTTGGTTGTTTTGGGTTTTTTCCCCTATTTTAGAACAATTCTTTGCCCAGAGCACTCTGATGGAGGCAGTCTTGAGCTGCAGAGCGTGCTGCCTGATGGGAACTGTCAGCAGGTCAGTGGCTGCTGCTGCTTTGCAAAGAGGTGCGGAGCGACGCGTGAATCTCCCGGCGGAGGGAGGGAGGGAGGCTCTGAGGGAACCTGCTCTGCAGCCAGGTCCCCGGGTGCACCTGAGGCGTTAAGGCAGCGGGGAGGAATAAAATCTGTATTCCGATCACAGATGAATTAGGGGGCAGAGAAGTGACGTAGATACCTGTGAAAACTTCCCACGGGCGCATCCTGAGTAATTTGTATAGCGGGATGATGAAAAAATAATTGCTATGGCCACGCTTGCCTGACAGCCTCTCAGTGGAATGGAAACCCATCCATGTTCGAGAGCAACAGAAACCTGGTGCGATCTGGCTAACTGCAAGGTGGAGGCAGGCTGTTGATGCGTTGACAAGGTGCCGGTTTTCTTAAGACTTTAAGACATGGTTCAGAGTATAAAAGCTACAGATCAGGTCCTTTGTATTTTGGTCATTTGGGAATCTGAATGTGAAATTGTTATGTTAGTACGGAAGTTAGAAGTGTCTCTTTCCCCAAGCTGTTAAGGACACTTGAATTTCTCCAGTTTATTAACTTCCTAGCGTGTGGGTTGGCAACAGCTGCATCCTTGTCTTTGTCCTAGTCACTGGGGTTCACAGTACAAGATGTAGGAAGGAATGACTTCTTAGGCCAGCTTCTATTTTCCTGTTGTCTTCCCTTCCATTTAAAACAAAACCAAACTAGACCCAAACAGAATAAACCCAAGCTTGCGGCTATCTACGTATTCCAGAAAGTGATAATGTGCTTCAAAAACAATTTAGCCAAAAGGCTAAAGGATACTGTAATGTGTTTGGGCTATATTCTTGAAACTGCTATGCAGATGCAGAATTATGTAGCTTTTTAAATTCAAATAATGAAAAACATCTCATTTATTAAAATCAGTATTGTGTTTGTAGATATGTCAGTTAAGTGTATCATGTTACAAATACAGAGAACTGTTGGAAGAGGAGTGAAAATTCGTTCTCCAGATTTAAACTGAGCATTTCTGAAAACAAAACCCTGACTTAAACATAGAAGAGACTCCCCCATTTCATCGACTCCAGTACTGCTGATGTTTTAGTGTTGTAGCTTCTTAACAAACAATACAAATCCATATCTGTAGAGGGAGTTGAAATAATCCTAAATACTGAAGTTGTTGGTGTGATGAGTACTGTCATGGCACATTGAGGTCAAGAAGACAAAACTTGCTGGCAAAGACTTTGGATACTCTTAGGACAGTACGCATTGGGGTATGGCAATACAGAGTGCCTTTGCAGACCATCTTCTAACAAGGTGGACAAAACCAGAAGTGGGTGTATGTGTTACGGGCAGGCTCTCTGCTCTCTAAATGCGAGCGAGCACATCCAAGCCAGGGCCAACACCAACTGTGCATCTGTGGTTAAGTATGAGACATTTATTAGTGTTCAGAGCAGAGGTCTCGATTCAGTAGCCATTCTGTATTAGTATATAAATGCAGTTGCCCATGGATTTTCGAATATTTCTAGACCAATGTATACTGGACTCTTAACACTGCAGTTTTAAAAGTAGTTTTCTGATACTCTAGTAAGGCCTTAAAATTGAGTGCTCTAGAGGCACGCCATGAAACAGTTGATAATCCATGTACCTGGCCACACAAGGGTGTATGTACTAGACTTGGTATTCATTGCGTACTGCTATTCTGTGTAAACTTGTATACGGAGCTTGTAGTACCTGGCTGGTAGAGAGCTTACCTGTTCCAATGGTCAGAACACAGAAAACTTGAGATGGGGGAGAGGAATTAACTTGCCAAACCAGCAGTGGCTTTCTTAGTCTCGTGTGTTACAGTGAAGAACTGGCTGGTACCTGGGCCAGTGCTGCTAGTAAATACTTGGTTTGAGAAACTTGAAGCTAGAGAGTGGTCTATAAGGTGCAGTAGTTCAAGAGACTCTCGTCTTAGTGCTGTGTCCTGTATATCTGTGGGTGTCTCTCGTCTCATAGGAGCAGGTGAACAGATCAAGCCCTGGGGATTGTATAGGCCAGGCACATTGGATGTCCACTCCAGCTTCTCTACCTGCCAGTCTCCCTCTCCTCTCCTAGTTCCTCATCCCTGTTGCATAAAGACAAGTTCTCATCAGTAGTCACTGTTGAGTGATATAACCATTTATTTGTGGATTAATTCCTGGTTTATTAATGAGTAGTCTCTCTATAGCTACTTTCCTTTATGGCCTTCTGTGCTGTGGACAAGTATCCAGATTTATCTTACTAGCTTTTCCCTTCTCTCTTGCTGAATGATAAGGAATTACAAGGTAAAGGCTTCTGTCAGATGTGCTTGTCTCTGTCATGTCACGTTAATCGAGGTGTCTTTATAAAGACTTCAGCTTCTCTTCAGTTTTGTTGGACTATATTTAGTATGTTATCTTCATAAAGGTGGTTATAATATGTGTCAGTTTGAAATGGCAGAATTAGAATTCTAGGGTTCTTAAGTTGGCTGGAGAATATTGTGAAAGGTGAGTGTTTTAGAATGTATTTATTAGCATTCTAGTTGCCTAGAAAGAAGTATTTTATTTTAATTTTTGGTAGTTGGGAAAATATCTGTTGCTGATTGATCCACTCCTAGTTCTTACCCTTTTTGAAGGATGGGAAGTTAGTCAAATGCATTTGTTTAAAGCACTCAGGATGCAGGGTCCCATTTCGAAGAGAGAATACTGTAGCTGTAGGGCTAATTCTGAACTGTAGGATGTAATAATTTTTACAAATCCCATTTGAAGCTTTAAAATCTAAAATTCTGTGAAAGTCTATACTGTTTGAACATATGGGATAGACAAGTCTTGCTGTGGAATTTGCTTTTGGTTTGCTGCCTGGTGACTTGCTTTTTTACGTGTTTCCAAACCACAGTCTTGTCCTTAAACTTTTAAGTTTCCTTTCTCTAGCTGGGTGACAAAGACTCTGAGCAACCTGATCTAGTTAGCGGTGTCCCTGCTCGCTGCAGTGGGGT